GTGGTATTTTTCTTTCATTGACTGGTTTATTTCACTTAGCATAATGCTCTCCAGTTCCATCCATGCTGTTGCAAATGGTAAGAATTCCTTCTTTTTTACAGCAGCATACTATTCCATTGTGTAGATGTACCACAGTTTTCTAATCCATTCATCTGCTGATGGGCACTTAGGCTGTTTCCAGATCTTAGCTATGGTGAATTGTGCTGCCATGAACATAGGGGTGCATATATCCTTTCTGATTGGTGTTTGTGCTGGAGAGGATGCGGAGAAAAGGGAACACTCATGCACTGCTGGTGGGAATGCAGACTGGTGCAGCCACTATGGAAGACAGTATGGAGTTTCCTCAAAAAGTTAAAAATGGAACTCCCATTTGACCCAGTGATCCCACTTCTAGGAATATATCCCCAGAAACCTTCTGGCCCTTTAAATACAGTTCCTCATGTTGTGACCCAACCATAAAATTATTTTCGTTGCTACTTCATAACTGTAATGTTGCTACTGTTATGAATCGTAATGTAAATATCTGATATGCAGGATGGTCTTAGGTGACCCCTGTGAAAGGGTGGTTCTACCGCCAAAGGGGTCGCGACCCACAGGTTGAGAACTGCTGCTTTAGACAGTCTTTTTTTTTTTTTTACAAGTTTATGTCAAAAGTCTTTTTAGACCTTAAAAGTGTTTTGTTTCCTTGTGGCAGGATAGCTAATGTATAATCATTGCAATTTCTCCCACCAGTGCCCTGCCAGACTGTTCTAGATTACTTGAAGACGGTGCTACAGCATCACAACCAACTCATGATCCCACAGCCAGTTGAGCAGCCCTCCGAGGTAGGTCTCCATTTGTAATAAGGTAAATGTTGTTCCATTGGGAATTTCCTTAAAATGAAGCGTCTTGATGGCTTACCCACATATCCCAGAACAGGTTGGCTAACAAAATACATTTCTGACTCGCTGAGGCTTAGGCATCTACCCCCTGTGAGGATGTAGCCTGTGGCAAAAGATGATGCATGTATTTAACTCCCAAAGAGTCCATCTGTATGCTGGGGGCAATAAGAGAGAAATAGCCGTTTAAATAATGTGGGAAGTTTTCCCACCATTCTTTTGGCACAGAGGGGGCTGGAGATGGGAGTCGCCCCTGTCATTCCTCAGGCTGAGCCAGGGTCCCAGAACGCCTCTTTCTGTGAGACGTCGCCCAAGCTGAGGTTCTCCAGTGTTTAGATAGATATTTCCCGAACATTAGGGCCCCTGAACGTGAGCATTTTGTTCCTCTGGACTTCAGTGGAAGAAACCACGGTCTCTTCACCGTGTAGGAGAAGCGGTCTGTTTTGATGGGAATGGCTGTACCTGTTAAACCAGTACATTTGTACAGGATCTAAGGCTCAGTTTTCTGGGTGTGCGATTTTCATCTTAGGGACCTCAGAACCTAAATCCAGTGGGAGAAGCCACTGCACTGTACCTTCCGGGGGTTACCAGTGTCTAGGATTGATAACAGTAGGTTGCAGTAGCTCAGTTTTTCCATTTGGCAGGGTGAGTTGTCCAAGTTAGTAACAGTACATTGTTGACCTACTCTGTCATCTCGTGGTCATACATCCATTGGCATTCCCCCTGTCCAGTTAAATAACATGAAAGTACTATCCCTGTGCTTACCACTTAGTAGATCCTGCCGCACACCTGTTCCCACCTGACCCCTGTGCCTCTCTGCTGAAGAAATACAAGGCACACGGTTGTCCAGTTCCCCGCGCTGTGAGAGACGGGATGAAAAGGCTGGAGTCATCTCGTGCAGACTGAGACTCAGTGCCCTGTGACCTGAGACGCTCCCTTCCCCTGAAATTTGGAGGAGGGCTTTCAAAGGCCTGGTCCTTTGCGGCAGCCACAGCCTATCCTTGGTCCCACCACACCCCCTCTCGAATTCAGCAAAATAGTCAGATACCCTAGTTGAATTCCGTGTACTGACTTCTGTCACACTTACATCAGCCTTCGAGCACACCCCACACCCCCATCGAGGGCAGTGCCCTTGCCAGTGCCGGCTGGTCCACGTCTCGTTTACCCAGCGCCGCCGCCTCCTTCTAAGACCTGGTGCTAGCCTTTATGCTTTGTCTTGGGCACTGATTTCTCTCTTGTTTCTGGGTCATTCTCCTGAGCAACAAACACACTCAAGTCTTCCCACCCTGAAAATAAGCCTTCCTTTTCTTCCTCCTCCTCTCCACCAATTATTATCTTTTCTTTCTCCTTCCATCACCCAAAGAATCCTCTGTCAGCACCTTCATTCTGCACCACAGCACATCCCTCCTCGAAGCCTAGGCCCGTTCTCATCCCCATTAGCCTCCCTAGTGCCTGCCCTTGAAAGCACTTGCCAAATGGTGACCTCATTTTCTAAAAGTGATTAAACATTCAAAAGATGGGTCTCTGTTCGTCATCTCCACCCTCTGAATTTCCACTTGCTCTCCCACCACCTGGAATCTGTCTCCAGCTCCACTCTGTGTCAGAATGCCCTGGAAGAAGCCTCAGAACGGTCCCATTGTCCAGTCCGGGGCCCTTTCTCAGCCTTCGTCACCCCCAGAACTTCACCCTCCTCCATGATCTCTGCGGCCTCCACGCCAGGACATTCTTCTGGTTCCCAGCCTTTTCCATCTGGTGTTCACCAGAGTTTCATCTTGCATTGTTCTCTCTTTTTTAAAAAATTTTACTTTCTTTTTTAAATATATTTTTTATTAATTTCAGAGAGGAGCAGGGGAGAGAGAGAGAGAAGAAAAAATATCAGTTATGGGAAAGAATCATTGATTAGCTGCCTCTTGCACGCCCCAGACTGGGGATCAAGCCCACAACCCAGGCCTGTGCCCTGACAGGGAATCGAACTGTGACCTCCTGGTTCATAGTTGGACACTCAACCACTGAGCCAGGCAGCCGGGTCTGCATCATTCTCTTGCTCTCCACGCCCTTTCCTGGTCAGTCACGTTCTCTCACTCTCTCTCTGAACATCAGCCTCCTGTAGGTTAACGAGTGCCTAATCCAGCTCCAAACCACCAGTCTCCCGGTCTCAACTCTGGACCAGGGGGTCCAGAGCCTGACCAGCAGTGGAATGCCATGCACCCCGAACTCAAGACACCTTTGAATGCCCATCTGGACTCCTGTTTTATCTACAAGAAAAGCAGCACTGCCCGGCCGGTGTGGCTCAGTGGTTGAGGGTCGACCTGTGAAGTAGAAAGTCACAGTCAGGGCATGTGACCAGGTCGCAGGCTCGATCCCCAGTAGGGGACATGCAGGAGGCAGCAGATCAGTGATTCCCTCTCATTATTGATATTTCTATTTCTCTCTCCCTCTCCCTTCCTCTCTGAAATCAACAAAAATATATTTTAAAAAATTTAACAAGGCACCAACCCCAGGCAGAAATTTCTGAGGCATCCCTGACTCTCCTCGTCCTCATTCCTGGCATCCACGTGTTTGACAGCCGTGTTGAATAGTCTCTCATCTTGTCTCTGGCTCACGCTCATCACTTTTCACCTGGGCTGTGACAGTAGATTCTGTCTTCTCCATTTTCCACACTGAACTTACTTTTCTAAAGTGTGGATACAAATGAGTGTCACATACTGGATTGCTCCTTAGGACAGGGCCCATGGTTTCCTAGCATAACATTTCTATTATACAAAAAGCACATCTGAAAAGCTCGCTTCCTCCAGGAAGCTCTCCCTGATTGCCAGACCCTCCCTGCTCACCAGGACATTGTTTATAAGATGAATTCTGCACTTACTGAAAAGTCAGCGTCCACCTGAGTCTTCCATTTGGTTGAGTCTATGAAGACATAGAGCACTCACTGTTCATCTTGGTTTTTTCAAAGTTGTCTCAACAGTAGGTCAGACTTTAATAACCTGTTGGTGGCGAGTTGAGGAGGGTATGCGATCAGAATTCTATGGAAACATAAAAGTAGGGGAAATGCCTACATCTCCTCTGCATAGGACTATTAAACTTGACCCATCATCATTACTACTATATTATTTTTATTGTCATGTCAGACATATGAGCATTTTCTCATTGGTATTATTTACTACATTTTATTTCTATTAACCATGTACGGTAAATCTCATCCACAACACACAGCATTCTGAGTTGTTTTAAGCTGTAAATTACTTTCTTTTTCTTTCTTAAGAAAACTGCCTCCGGATGCTATTTCTGTATTTTATGAGTGCTACATTTCATGGAAAGGTGTCTGAGTATATTTTGTAAGGATTTGAGAAAGCTCCTTCCCCGTATCCTCGCTCCCTAATCTCAAGTACTGCCCGTCTTGAAATAGACTCAACACTGGCCCGAGAGATGAACTCTGAAATCGGGGGCAGGGTTCCCAGCTCTGCCTTTTGGCTTAGGAGACCTTGGGAAAGGACTTAACCTCCTTGGCCAAACAGCTGTGGGAATCCTAGCTTGTCGGATGAGCTCACACACCCAAGGGAAAGCCCTTTGAAAACTTGTGCAGTGTTGAATGACCACAAGGTTTAAAACCCAGTCGCACAGTCTCCTTTTCCCAGGCTGACAGGTGCTTACAGGGGCCGTACCTGAGAAGCTGGTTTTCGCTTAAGGAAGGTGGGCGTCCTCTGTCTTCATCGTCCTTTTCAGTGGCCCTCTGACTTTGATGGTCTCCTTAAAGTTCTTTAACTTCGCCAGTTTATTAGAGTCAGAAGCTCTTCAAGTGTCCCAATGCCGCAGGGATTAAAAACAAGGCCAGAAGCCTGCATTGCAGCGCGTTGCTGAGTGTCTGCCATGTGCTGGTGGCGGTGGCGTACACTGCATCGTCAGTCACAGGTGTTCACCGCACCTGCTCTCTCGTGCACTGTTCTCGGCCCTGGAAGAGACACAGACGAAAGCAGATAATCATCCCAGCCCCCGTGGGCTTATCTCCTGGCGGGGAGATTGGCAGACTCCTCCCCACAGACCTGCAGGCTGGGGTGGGTATCCTTATTGGTACAGAAGACAGCTTACGTGTAGAGAACTTGTCACCTGGCCGGGGCCTGCACCAGAGCCCACCGCTGTGCTTGCACCGGCATCTCGGCCTGTGGCCAGGGGTACAGAGTGCATGTGGCAGCCTCGGGCTGCTCACCCGTGGCTCGATACATGGTGACGGTTATTAGGGAGGCTCTTCCACAGGAACGCTTTTGACACAGTCCGTGGTCTGAGGCAGCGAGCCCTGGGTCCCACCTTCCCCAGGCCCCAGTGGGCTGCGCTCCGGGCTGAGGGGTCAGCCAGTCAGAACCCTGTGACCCCTGCCCTCCCTGTGCATGGGAAGCAGTGGAATTCTCTTCCTTGCTACCTGCCTCTGTCTCCTCCCGGACATACCCTCTGACCCTTATCTTTGTGAAGGGCACCCATTTCTCCTGGGAATCATCTGGACTCCCCAGGCTCCCAGACCGTGGCTGTCTGAATTGCTTGCCTGACCCCCTTGGTTCTACATCTTTCATGCTGGCTTCTGCATCTACACTGCCACAGACTCGAGTCATTCCTCCATCTCACCTCCCCCATGAGACAGCAGTCTTGGCTGAGGTGCCCTTTGGGACTCTGGGCTCCTGCCCATCACTTGGTCATTTGTGGTAATACACAGAGCCAGGGTTGATTTATGCTCCCAAATACTCGTATCTTAAACCTTAAACCTATGATAACTTAGTTAATTCCTTCCATTTTATGGTTAGGGAAACTTGGATCCAACAAGTTGAAGTAATAACTTCCTCAAGAAACACAACAAGTAAGACCTGGAGCCAAGATTAATTAAAGCCCAAATGGAACCCTGGCCAGTGTTGCTCAGTGGTTAGAGTGTCAGCACGTGGCCCGTGGGTTCAATTCTCAGTCAGGGGCACGTAGCTGAGTTGCAGGTCTGTTCCCTGCCCCCCAGTCAGGGCACGTGCGAGAGGCAACCAATTGATGTTTCTCTTACATCAATGCCTGCCCCCTTCAACTATCTAAAAGCAATCTATATATATACAGAGTCAGGGGCCATGGCAACCAAACGGATGACCTAACAGGCTGGCGACAAGGCCGGCAGGGGAGTTAGTGAGCAACCACCAAACGACTGAGCAGCAGGCTGCATGGGGCGACCAGGCCAGCAGGGGGTTTAGTGAGGGACGACCAAATGACTGAACAGCAGGCTGTGTGGGGTGACCAGGCCAGCAGGGGAAGGGGGCAGTGAAGGATGACCAGGCTGGCAGAGGGAGGCAGTGAGGGGTGACCAGGCCAGCAGGGGGCACAGTTGGTGGCAACCAGGCCGGCAGGGGGCGCTTTTGGGGGTGACCAGGCCATCAGGGGAAGCGATGAAGGGCGATCAAGCTGGCGAGGGGGGGCAGTTGGGGGCAACCATGCCAGCAGTGGGGGCAGTTGGGGGTGATCAGGTTGGCAGGGGGGGCAGTTGGGGGCGACCAGGCTGGCAGGCAGAGGCAGTTAGGTTTTATCAGGCTGGCAGGGGGGCCAGTAGGGACAATCAGGCAGGCAGGCAGGTGAGCAGTTAGAAGCCAGCAGTCCCGGATTGTGAGAGGGATGTCCAACGGCCTGAGGATCGGGCCTAAACAGCAGTCAGACATCCCCCGAGGAGTCCTGGATTGGAGAGGGTCCAGGGACCTCCCCCCCCCCCCCCCCCCCACACACACACACACACATGAATTTCATGCACCGGGCCTCTAGTAGAAAAATACCCTCAGGTGAGGATTAACCAAAAAAGAACAAGTTGACTTTAAATTCAAATACAAACCATGTGCAACATCCTCCCTTAAAAAGGAAACTGAGTCACACTACTGCTCATTCATGAAAGGATGAATGCTTTGGAGATGAGTATATAATTCAGTGACGGTTTCATAGCCACATCTGGTCGTCCCCTTCCTGTTGGTGTCTATGCCATTTGCCCTTCTCAGCGCTTAACTGCACAGAACACTTTTTGAAATAAAACCCTAATAGACCCAAACATTGTCAAATTTATAACCTGTAGTAAATTTGCAGAGCTGTAAAATGGAATGCGTTTTCCCTTCGTTATTTGGTACACCTTAATTACTGGGGAAGGAGTACATTAAAACTGAGATCATGGGTTAATTAATTGTCCTGGACTGTAGAATTTTATGGACAGCCAGAACTAAAGTAATGGTTGTGTAGGAGCAGTTGACTAAACATGGCTTATAAATGTTACAGAAATTCCCATAATTAGTCCCACTGCAGCTATTTAGCTTGGGAATTTTATAGCAGACATAAATTACGAAGGTGAAAAGTACGAAAAGTTTTGAATTGACATAGTGGCATTTGCAAAAGCTATAATTTGAAAAAAAACACCTGTTTTGTACTATTATTAATTTTTTTTTCAGTTTCCACAATTCCCCCTTTTTTAAATTTACTTTTTAATGTTGTTTCCACTATAATGTAATCAATGGCTATCAGGTGTTAGCTGCATAAGCACAAGTAATACCTCATGAAAATAGACCCCCGGCATCATTTCCAAAAGTACGTCACTGCCAACCCCAGGAGGAAGGGGCCTATTTGATCACACTCTTCAAAGCCATTTCTGCATATTTTAATGGATTGAAAAGGAAAGTTACGGGTTCTTTTTAAATAGTGTTCCCTGTCATTGGATCTTGACACATTTTAACCTACCTGTTAAAATGCACGTTATAAATAGCTCCTCTTTCAAAGGTGTTCATTATACCTCATTGGCTCTTGTTATAGAAAATGCAAATGTAATTTGAAAAGTGCCCATTCTGAGTGTGAGCAATTACGTGTGCTCTTCCATACCTGGTTCATTGTCAGCCCACAGCCACTTGGTGAGAAAGCACGTTTGCCTTTGAAATGGAGATCGCCTCCGCTCGGCTGCTGGCTGGCTGGCTAAGTGGGTAATGAGAAAATATTTCGCTTTTCCAGGGAAGCAAGCAGCTGTTGAACAACTATCCTGTCTACATAACGAGCAAACAGTGGGACGAGGCTGTAAATTCTTCAAAGAAAGATGGGAGACGGCTCCTGCGATACCTCATCAGATTTGTTTTCACAACCGATGAGCTTAAGTACTCATGCGGCCTTGGGAAAAGGAAAAGGTCAGTGCAGTCAGGAGAGACAGGTCCCGAAAGACGCCCTCTGGATCCAGTTAAAGTAACATGCCTCCGAGGTACTGCATCCTTCCGCTCAGCGTCGCCATCTGTGATCTCATTTCACCGCATTGGCTGTGGCTCGCGTGCAAGTGTAGCCCTTCCTGTTTCTTTGGTTTCTTCCCACTGAGACCCCATAGGCTTCATGTGGCCCATCTACTGGGTATCGACAGGTTCTCTTTAAAAGCCCCTGGTTTGCTTTAGACTTGGTGTTCTCCCTGAACGGCGCGTAGCATTGCATAGCACCTCATGTTTCACGCTTTAAGTTCCGACTTGCTCTGCGGCCAGAGGAGGCCATTTCCGGCCACACTGGAGCCTTGGGACAGGCACAGAGGAAGGGAAGACATGGAATGGTTTGTTTTAATTAGTCAAGTGGTAGGTAGAGCCCATTTTCATTTGCAGCCTGTGGCCCACCCCCTCCCCATCTAGCTTCCCTCTCAAGAATACATGCCCCCAAACTCCTTACATTTATTTAGAATTCATTTTCCTCAGTGCCTAAAGTATTACTTGGCCCTATCAAACTTTATTCTATTAGTTTCAAAAAAGTTCCCGTATTAAAAATAAAGGCAGCGCTTCATCAGTATTAATAACTGGTTACTTTGCATCTGATCCACACTTGGTAAGCCAGGCAGGGGTTGAGGAGGAAGAAGCAAGAGATACACCATTCATGTAGCAGGTTCAAATAAACAGACAGACATTAGCCAGCTAGGAACATTATAGAGCCAACAAATACACCGTTCACACCTGAAAAATGTCATGTTAAAAAGCTCAGTGTTCACCTGGATAGGTCAGTAGTAAGTTCATTGGTTGGAAAGGTTTAACAGTGACTTACCCTGGACACGGATCAAATATTTCCTGACGAGGAAGCCACAGGGGAAAACCTGCGCACTGACCAGGCCTCGGTTATCACCCAGGACACACTGCTGCTGGGTGCCCACAGTGACTGTTAGTGTGCTAAACGCCTATGTAGTATTTGTTAGCAGCCGAGTTCCCTACGCCCATCCTGAGCGTCTGATTCAACTGGTCTGGGGCGGGCATGGGGAGGCTGCATTGCTGTGCCTAGGACCTTCCCGGGTGATCCTGATGCCCATGGCCCTAGTGGCCCTTCAGAATACCACGGGCATGAATACACCCATATTAACCAGGCACAGGTGCTCCAGAGCATCCCCTGTTGGCCATTCTGGAAATTCCACTTGCTCAGAGTGGGTACGATGGAAGTGTTCAGGGTCTTTCTGAGCCAACTACCCATGAGGTCCTGTATTTTCCAACATCATCAGAGCTGATGGGATCCTCACCAAGAGGACCAGAGGCAGGGGCGGGCCTGGGACTCCCCTGAATGTAGGCTCGGTGTGCTACGGAAGCTGCCCTGGGGCTAAGGGACTTGGAATAAGGGGCCTCAAGTGGTGTCCCTTTGCAGAAATCCTTATTAAACATTTTACATGTTAACTAGCAAGTATGTGAAATAGGGATTAGCATACGTCCCAAAGCACCAGTGCCCGTGCCCTGAGGATGCTGCCACACCCACTGCCACACTAACGCCGGCCAGGCTGCCTGAGCAGCGCTGCCTGCTCCAGCCCGTGCCCGCGTGAGGAATGACCCACAGGCCTCCACTGGAGAATGTGGGGGCACGGAATGGTAGTTGTCTGCCCAGGGCAGCTGGTTAGAGCATTTATATGTCTGTCCCAAAGGCTGCAATCCTAGGGCCCTCCTGTGACCTAGATGGGATTCCCTCCCGAAAGGCTTGGGCCTGGTGACTCCCGGGGGTGGTGAACAGGATTACAGCGGCCAGGGAAGCCTCAGACCAGGGCCACTTTCAGTGATGGAAAGCAGGGAGCTCGGGGAATAGAATCAGCCTGGGCTGGCCTGCTCCCAAAATGCGTCCCATCTGTGTAACAGAATGAGCCCTACCTTTAGCTTTTAATAGTCTGTCCGTTTCAGGGACAGTCCTGTCACAGCGGTAGATGCGGGGAGCGTCACAGCAGCGCGTCCTCATCCATTAGCCTCTCTCCTCTCGCTGATGCTTTGAGTCTCTCATTTCCTTGGGTTCATGTGAGAGGGGGATCTGAACAGATAGGGGAGTTATTTAAACAGTTGTCAAATGCTCACTGAATACAGAAGGGACTTGAGGAGGACAAAGGAGGAATAGGAAACAGCCCCGGCTTCTGGAGCTAATAAGTAGTCCGGCTGGAGATGATTGGAGGACAGTGGTGAGATAATAAGGTGCAGATATTTGAGTCCTTGAGGTCCCAGAATACCTCCTTTCTCTGCCCAGCACTGTCATGACCTGGACTTTAGAATTGCCCTTCAGTGTTTCTCAGGCTCGCACCCCAGGATAGGCTGTCAGGCTCCCAGCAGTTGCAGAGTGAGGAGCTGAATTAACAGAATGCTTTCCCCAAGGAAGGCGTCCAGGGCTGGGACTGAGGGAGGCAAGTGAGTATCTCACCTCAGGCAGAATCAAAGGGTGTGCCAAGCCAGCAACCTGGGTGGACCTCCCCCCCTGCCATCCCCCCCCATCCCCCAACCTCCGCCTTCTCAGCTGGAGTCCACTGGGCATAGTTCAGGGCGAGGGAGTTCGCTGGTCCAGGAACTCCAGGCATTAGCTTCTCCCCAGGGCAGATAGAGTGTGGATTTTACAAAGCAATTTCAGACCAGTCCAGTTGTACAGTAAGAACTATCGCCCCGCCGAGGGAGCATTGCTGGAAAGGAAACGATGTGTAAACAGCAGGCAGGCATCCTGAACTTCCAGTCAGCTGGGCAAAAAACACAGGCGGACTTACAACTTTCCCAAAATGTTCAAAGCGTTTTACAACTGTCCCATTGAAACAGCTACGTAGGAATGATGAGGTGCCCTCAGCCCCTGAGAAAATAGAAGGGGTTCATTTGGGCTCTTCTACAGGAGGCCACGTTGGTTTCATTGCGGGCTTAGCTATTTTTTATGTATTTACTCTTCCAGGCATGCTAATTGCTTTCTGGTGAAATTGAATATTTAGAGGAAACCTCATTTTAAAAATATTTGTCAGTGCACATATAGGCAATTAGAGAAATCAGTATAACCTATAACATTTTAAGAATGTGCAAAGCTCTTCTAGAAACTTAGGCCATTTCTCACTCCTGGAGATTTTGTGATTTTATTGCACTTAATCTACAAATTAGTAGCTGACTGAAGAATACCATGTGAACAATTTGCTCTGCTTCTGGAGATAGTTAACATCCTAAACATGTGAGGCAGTAACAACAGGGGTTTTGAAAATGTGACTCACTAACTTTTACCAGGCATGGCGCCTACCATGTCTTACAAATCAAGTTTACTTTCAATTTCAATAGCAAATGTTCCTTAGAAGGATCACCCTCTTGCTGACGGGACTTTACTCTTGCGCATGAGTAGGAAACTTACAGTTTAATGAGTGACATCATCATGGCATTGCATTGGAGTTCTCATAAAGCTTTTCTCAAGAGCTTCTGTTAACGTATAAGCAGCCTCTTCTACCATCTTCTGCAAAAACCAGCTGTTTCTCTCTCTCTCTTTATTGTGTATATTCCCACAGAATTCATTAGGATGCACTGTACCTCCAACCCCGACTGGTGGATGCCCTCGGAGGAGCAGATAAACAAAGTGTTCAGCGATGCTGTGGGTCATGCCCGGCAGGGGCGCGCGGTGGGGACTTTCCTGCACAATGGTGGCTCGTTTTATGAAGGGATCGATCACCAGGCCTCCCAGGATGAAGTCTTCAGTAAGAATTCCCAGGATGGGTCTGGGGATTAGTGGACAAAACCTTTCCATTGCAGCAGCCGGTCCTCTCCAGAGTCGCCATTGTGACTGTCCTGTCTCCATCACTGTAGAGCCCACAGCATGGCATCTGTCAGAATGTACATCCGCACTCTTAACTCTCTTGACCTTCTGCCGCAGTTCCCAGATCGAAATCCATTTTAGGGTTGTTGGCAAAGTCTGTGGAGCCTACCACAGATTTTCAGGATACTATATTATAAAAAGTAAAAGCTACCATTGATTTTAAAAGATTACATGGTGAGGATGAGGGGGTGGAGACAAACTCCTGGTCACCTGTCTGAAATCTTCATGTAAGTTCTGCGTCCTGCTCAGAGCTGGTCCTTATGGAAGATTGGGCTGCGTTCCTGCCCACGAGGGAAGGTAGAGACATGGGTTACTATGGAACAAGCATTCTCTTTAATTCAAATAAGTCATTTTTATGTTTTCCAAAGACTTGAATTCATGCTCATCAGATAGGTGACATAATATGCTGTGTCTCCATTGACAGAGCCTATTATTAAATAGAAACCAGAGAACAGAGGCCATCTCTAGACAGTGATTAGTTGAAAGTCAGCTATTTTTCTCGATTATTTTTAGCAAAAAAGTCCTACCATGTTGATCAGGAAGGCACTAGGTGATCTCTGGAGTTTACAGAGAGTAGTAGTTTTCATTATGTCAGTCAAGAAACATCCAAAGATCCCAACCATTGTTAAATGCTTGATTTTGTAGGTTCCAATAACCTAAAGTCAGGCTCTGTTGACACAATGCCAAAGTGGCGGGTTAAACAATGAGAATTTCAGCCAGTCGTTTGGTGCACTGAAGACCAAACAAGTGGTGTGACTGATGGTATTGACTGAGTTGACCAGATGTTCTAGAATTGCGTCCACACAGCTTCAAGGCCATTCTGACAACTATGCAATGGGCTTGTCTAATTTCTCTGAAACTTGAGGGTCTTTCTGTGCTCAGTTGATCTTTAGAATTTGCATAAAACTTCTGTTTCTCGTTGTCACTGATGAAAATTGTTTCTTCCCAACTGTGAGTGCCTGCTTCCCCCAGTATTCCCCTGAGCTGATTTGTTGAGTCTCACGTGTGAAATCAGTAGTGTCTTTGGAGCCATTTCTTACCCAAATGCTGCAGAGAGGCTAGGACCAGGTCTGAGGGCCTCGGGTTTGGACCTCAGGAGAGGTTTGGACCTCAGACTAATGGCGATGCCACATCCTTTGTAAGCAAAGGGCTGAGTGGACAGCATTGTTGAAGGCTGTTAATGTCATCTACAGACGGGACTATAAAGATTTTGGAAATTCATTTAAAGTTTATGAGCATCCATTTATAAAGTAGTTATTTTTCCCATTTTTTGTTAAAGTAAAATAATATTCCTTTATGTTCAATAATTTGCATCAACTAAATTGCAAAGGCCTAGAAATAGGTCCGTCTTTAGCTTTTTAAATAGTTTCAACCACTGAAAAGTTTAATGTTTATAGAGATGGTCATTTGTCAGACCTGTAAAGTTGTGGGGGGAGAACTAATATTTTGATCCTATATTGGAAAAGTTACCTAAAATTTTGAGAAGTTTGTTTTGTTTGTTTGTTTTTAAGAAATGATAAGGGCAAATGGGATGTTGTTTATGGGAACCATGCGACTAATATTTGGCTATACAAAGAAAAAGGTACTTCTTGAAGAATTTTAAAGGTCTAGGAAATCAATATTTTGTAAGATTCTTTGGTGACATGAAATCTTGGCCAGAAGAAAAATAACCACCATAACCTCACATGTCAATCCATCTTTCTTTTTCTTTTTTTGCATTGGATTTTGTTATCCATACTGCTGAGTACATGTCCCCTCTCCCCTTTTTTTTGTATAGCAGCAATATTTGACCACTGCTTTTATTTTTTAGAGAGGGAGTGGAAGGGAGAGGGAGAGACAGAGAGAAACATCGATGTGAGAGAGGCACATCTATTGGTTGCCTCCTGCATGCACCCCCACCAGGGCCAGGGAACCTGCAACCAAGGCATGCGCCTTTGACTGGAATCACACCCTGGGCCCTGCAGTCTGCAGGCAGACGCTCTATCCACTGAGCCAAACCTGCTAGGGCTGCCCACTGCTTTTAAAGGCAATCAGCTCTTACCATTTTTCTGTAATCTTGAGAATTGCACACATCTTCACCTCTCAGCATCACCTGGTGTGTGCTCACCTGTGCTGTGCTGGTCTTCGCTGATGGTGACGCTGAGCACATGTCTGCACTCTGCATGGCCTTATGTGCCAGCGTGCTACTGATGAAGTGCTGGCCCCACTCCCGTTACTATCCCCTGAAGAAGGCGCCTGGGAAGGCTCTGCTTCCCAGCCACCTGGTTGCACACATCCTTGCTCCAAAGGCTCACCTGGTCTCTTGCCTCTCATCCCCTTTCCAGGTGAATTATTTCTGTATCAGCTGTTCTCCAATATTTCACAGATTGCAAAATGCTGGAACTTCATGTTGGCCCAGAAAGATGACTGAGCATCAGACAGCCCGTTCTGATGCCTCTCCTGGAACTAGGACCTGCCACCCCCGCCCCTGGTCAGATGTTCTGTATGTTCTTCACTGCCCGTGTATTCCTATTCCTTTAGCCCAGCCCACCCAGGGGCTACAGCACGCTTGGGCTGTGACACAGGATCTGCTTAGAAATTCTGCTGGCTCCTTGGTCCGTGTCCCATGCCATCCTCTAGGCTTCCCCTTTAAGGCTAGTATCGTAGCTGGTTCATGGTGGTTGCCTGCGTGGGCACCTGACTTTTAAATCAGGGCTTGCAGAGATGGCTCACCTACTTTTCTGCAGGATCAGCATGGCCGCTGTGTAGGACGGTTAAAAGCTCGCTGTCCCTGCTGTCAGCCTTCCCGTTGATCTCTTTGGAGGCCTGGAGATGTTGCCTGTTTTCTTGATTTAATTTTCTGCATCTTTGTCTGGAATTGGACAAAGTGTTCTCATGATAAGAAACGTAGACTCGGCTTTTAGAATCTTCCTTGAGTCGGTGGAGCATGAGTATAAAACAGATCGAGTTAACACAGCTCCGGGTGCAGCTGGGCTCCACTGCATTGGCGAGCGGGGGGCTTGCAGGACTGGCCTGACACCGACGACGAACGTGATGTTTTTGTCAGTGACCGAGTGTGGGCCATCACCCAGCTGTCGGAAGTGCCCGTACCTTCCAACAGTGGCAGCGTCTTGATGTGTCCCGAGTTTTTCCAAATTAAAACCTGTCACAAAGCGCACCTGCTTTCGCAGTGACCTGTAGTCCCGCTGGGCTCGGGGTAACAGTTCAGTGTCTGGGTTGGAGGACGTGGGCCAGGACCTTGTGGGAACTGTAGTCTATGCGGAGTTGCTAAAGTCACATTTCTCACTGTCTCTTGGAAGGTGCACTGTTCAGAATTTTAACTGTTAACCTCAATGCCAAGTGCTTCGGAGATAAACGCTAAACATTAAAGTTCACACCATCCCTTTCTGCCTGAAAATATTTCATCCAGCCCTCGAACCCTGGCATCCCTCTCTTGTTCCTCATGTGCACCACAGCGTTTAGGTTATTGTCACCGTCGGTGTTTCATAGGCGTCGCTAGGAACGTAGAGGATAATATTAGAGCATCTGCAGAAGATTGCCGTCACCCCCTTCGGTAGGGGGGTCAGAGGTACATGGAGCTGCTTCACAGCTGTAGATGTGGATAGTTGTATAGTCTGGGTCTTGTTTAGCCCTTCCCAAGTCATAAAAACATTGACCTTAGAGATACCTTCATTAGGATTAGAGGGAGGTTTAATTATTACACTATATTTGATCTAACTACTCCATGTGTCCAATATCAGTAGAATGGTTTCTTCAGTCCAGTAAATGTCAGATGCTTTCCCCAAATCTGGACAGTACTCCAAGCTTGGGAGTCTGCACATTCATGATTTCTACATTTTTCTGCCACCTTTAATGGCTTTCCCTCCCTTCTGTTGCTGTCAGAATATGGATGAAGCATCAAATAAGATGAAATGTGCACTCGTTTCAGAAAAGCAAATATAACATAGCCTTTATTTAAGTTCTGTCGTTTATTCTATGCTCCAGAACTTGAACCTAATACCCACTGACTACCTCCTTAGTTTTTTCTTAGATCTTAATCATTTTTTAAAAATCTCATTCTTAGGTAACTTCATTTTTAGAAAATATTTAAATGTATAACTTCTCATTCAGTACTGTGTCATTTCACAGTACAGAGCTGTGTGATATTTGACAGCTCAGATACAAATTTTTAGAAATGTAATAGAAAATGATTTTGCACATATGGTGCAAGTCTGGCCGATGTCTGTTTAATGTGGCAACATTTAACCAAAACTGCCTGGCAAAACATGTCAAACGGAATGCTTGAGTCAGAATTCTAATGTAAATGTGTCTAAACAGCAGCGTGTATCATTATGATATATTTTTGTAAACATGCTTCTTGCAGTGGTATAAGTACTGGATAAAAATAACCACTTTGCTTGGAATAATTAGGAAAATGTCACCCAGCTGATGGCCCTCTTGCATTGTCAGCCAGTGGTACTGGCTCTTCTATTTGTGTTGATTTTTAGAGGAGAATGAGGAATTGATACCAGACGACGTGGAGTGCAAAAATAATAACCCATCCATATTTGCCTCCTCATATGTAAAATTTAAAGTTGTAACATATATATATTTGCAAGTGAGAGACCATTTTTACCCTCCACTGTATATTCATTTGTAAAAGATATTTAAAGGAAGGACTTTGCTCATCTAATGACTAGCTTGATCAGTTTGGCTATTAAAACCTCTAAATTACCAATATTTGTGGTAAAAGTGACCAGTTTAATTTTTCTCGTGACCATCCATAGCTGGTAATATAAGGGCTAGATTTTCACTGAATCACACTTCCCCAGATTGCAATGAAAATACATCTGCTAATGAGACCAGTTCATTCTCAGAATAACTGCACCAGTACAAGTGGCCCCATGGGTCTTCGCCTTGTTGGAAAACTGAGG